GGGGGGGGCGGGGGAGGGGGGGGGATGTCACAGGGCCCGGGTGAAAAATTATTTTCCTCCTCACTCTGGCTATGTCTTTCTTTCACTACCTCTCTCCACGTGGTGAGCAGTCGGGATGAGGGTGAAAAGGGAGCATTGTGTCTCCAGTCAGTGGCCTTATGTGTTGGAGAGGCTCTGAGAGGGTGATGTTCACTCAGCTGTGCTCCCTCAACGCCATTGTTGCAAATTCCACCTCATTTCAGCCGCTGTTTACTGAGCTCACATAGGAGCCTGTTCTGGAGGCGGCGGGAGCATCGTGGAATCACATGCACACCCACCTGAGACTTGAATAGACAATATATCTGGTTTAATTTTGTGAAGAAAAAAAAGGACAATTAATTTAACCGAGCTGGCGTTGGCTTTTGCGCCCACCTGTGCGCACAGTTTCCTTGTGTTACGCACAGGAAGAGACACACAGTGAGGTTTAGATTTTATGGACTCATATCAGTAATCAAAAGCCCAAGCAAGGGCCATTATGTGATGAACTTGAGCGTCAGTGTATGAGGGTTTAGTAAAGAGAGGCAGTGGACTCTTGGCTCAAAAGAAGGGGTGTTCACTCGCCATTTGAATGCAAAGTAGTGGATGAACAAGTGAGCTGTGTGCGTGTGTGTGGAGAGAGAGAGAGAGAGAAGGAGGGCCAACGGTGAGTTTTGAGAAAAGGAAGACTTGTTCAGAGAAACTGTCACATGGCACTTTAGTTCTGTTTTTCTTTCTCTGCACCACAATGCCACCAACGTGGACACGCTCTGTTGAGACTAATCAACCTGGAGGATCCATTGTCACATTTTTGGAGATGATAATTTAGATTTTCTTCGTTTTTTCCCTTTAAGTAATTTAGATACCTACTTTTTTCAGTGTGCAGGGAGACAGAATAAAAGTTGTGTGTTGGCCAATGCGCCCCTGCTTCGGTCCCATCCCACAGAAGCATGTCCCGTCGGAAACAGAAACGACCCCAGCAGCTTATGAACCTGACCCTCGCTGCCTGTCGGATACTTGAGCATGGTGAGAAATAATACTGGTTATTCAGCAGGATTGGATTCACATTGAATGGGAACAAGTCACTTTTCCTCAACAGGCAGAAGTTAGTTAGTTAGTGGTTCATAGTGTTAATATATGATTTTATTGTAGGCCTATATCTTTACAGAAATGTCATATGGACTTCAGACCTGTTTATAATTTAGTTGATTAAGAGGTAATCATTTAAACTATAATGAGAAAGTATTTTCCACTACAATTATCACAGTTCAAGCTGTTTAATTTGCATTTCAGAAATAGACTATATTTAGGTGAATGTTATGCTTGCCCAGTAAGAAAAAGACGGCTTGTTGGAATTATTGGCCTACAGAGTCTTTAATTAATTCTCTGTGGTTGCAGCCATTAACTGCTTTCTTTGCCCTGTAAAACCCAAATGTCTTCGCTCCTCATCACTGCCAGGTTCAAAGACACGGACCACCCAGAATAGGGGAATGTACAGTAAATCCCCAGAAAAATATTGGTAAAAAAGAATATATAGTGAATTTGAAAATGTGAATGAAAAGCAAGATACAGGTTCAGTAGGAGCAAAGAGATGAGCATGAGAAGGTCAAGAAAAGGGAAACTTTGTGAGGCACTGTATAAGGTGTTCTAACTGCAATAGCATTAGACCCCATTGTCCCCTTTCAGCTTTGTTGCTGGGCACTGAAGCATGAACATGAGCATGAAGTAGTGTGTATGTGACACAGTGTGCGCACACAAGTGTGTATTTGTCTGTCCATCCACCCCAGATACAGGAATAGGGCCACATTGTGTCATAAAATTGTAGCTTTCAAGCAGTAAGTTCTGTATGTGTTTGCGTGTCCACGAACAACCCTGTGCATATAAAGTGTTTGTGTCTGTGTGTTATGCATTGACAGGTATACTGTGTGTATGTGCTTTCAACCCTGTCCCTCTATGTCTTCCTGGGCTAAGTTAGCTCGTTGATGGTCTGTGAGTCATCATGTCTGTCTGCAGGACTGTTTGTTTTGTTTGCACACCACCTCGCTTCCTCTGCCTGGTCCTAAACCGTATCAGGAATGCGACCTCAGAGTGCTTAAGGTCAATCTGCCAACCAGTAAGGCACCCAATACAGTGTCCAGTACCCAACTAGGACCTAACCCTAAGCACCCCATTGGGCTACAGGGGGAAGGGCTCTTAAAGAGATGAAAGAAAGACAGATTGAATGGAGGAAGAAAGAAAGAGAGAGGGGCAGGGATGGAA